AAAATCGAAATAAAAATGAAACTTCTACACCCTGTATCTCCGAAACTAAACATTTTAAGACATACATTTATACGGACTTTTTTACTTATTTTTACCTGCAGAGTATGCTGCCGAAGTTTCCGGAATACAGTACGGCCCAGAAGATGCGGTCCTTGCAGTTTCCACGAAGCCTTCACCAAGCCGAGGAGACTCTTTTCTCATTGTTAAAAATCATTCCATTGTCTTTGCTCTTACAGTAAACATCTTGTACTTTATCAAATAAAATTAAAACTTTATTTTTTAAAAAGACTCTCCTGTTTTCTTGAAACGTAATTAGATTCCTAATTTCTAATATAGAATTACCACAGGAATTAAATTCCTGATTTAAACTCTTTTCATCTGCTATATATTCAGACGTTTGGCAACATCTCAGAAATTTGATCATGCGCCGAAAAAGAAAACCAATTATTCATTCACAAATTCACATTTTAAATTCATGTATTCTTTCGAACCCTACATTGAAAATCGTAGGTTGTTACTATTTAAATCCGTTTTGCGTGGATTTTTTTCACGCAACGAGTTTTTAATAAAAAAAAAAAGAATCCGCATTACTTTCAGAAAAGACGTCCTGTCAAAACGAACTAGAGAAAAGACAATTGGTGGTGGACGTCCGGAAGAAACAAAACAAAAAAATAAACAATCGGCGTCTGCAAAGGCCCACAAAAGCAAAAGTGAGCGACATTTAAAGGGGAACGGGCGTTCCGGGACTGGCGCTCGCCACTTTTAAAGGCGATAGATCGCAACGCGGGCGATATCTCTCGACCGAGCCGATCGATAAGCGGGCTACCTGCGGCCGCAGACGTTAAATTGTCCGTTGTCGGCTTTAATAGCACCGATTAAAGGGGGTACAGGCTCGCCAATAGGTTCTAGGAGAACCTGAATGATACAGAGTGTTCCAAATTTGGGGGTGACCATTGGGAGCTCGGAATCTAAAAGAAATACAAAGGAGGTGAAATGATGGTTAAGTTCAATAGAATACCGTTGTTCTTCAAATTTAAAAAAATCATTAGACTTTCGAAGAAATTCGGAACAGAACTGTAACTTTTTTTGGTGGCTTAACTATTATCGCTTATATCGTCTAGTATCGTATCTACATTTACCAGAGGCTCACTGACGTAGAATGAAGGCGTTCACATATCTGTACATGGCTTCGTTTGCTAATCCAATCAGCTTTAAATGTCTATTATTATGAACTTGCAATGCCCTCTTAGTACACCCACTACAGTTTTGACAGTTCTCCTGTCTGCTTATCAGGCTTACCAAAAATTTGGTAAGTTTCCAACACAAAACATCTCTCATTAGAAAATGTTTCTAATGGAAATAACTGGAAATAAAAGCTAAAGTGTGCGAACAGTCGCCAGAGGCGCTAAACAAGTCTTTAACGTAAAGACCGGTCCAGACGATAGGTTTTCTATGACGTTTTGTCTTGTTATATCAATAAAACAGCATCCGTATAGTACAGATGTCTGTATAAATTATTATATATTTTCGTGCAGCGTGCAGTTATAATGACGCCATCCTCTGGTTAATTTTTGCATGGTGTCTTGTAAAAAAGAAAATATTGGATTGTCTCAGAAGTGCCCGGCTTCAGAGGAAAATCTACCGCAAGCAAGACGTCTCTCAAAAACTGTAGGAAGTTCTTTGGTGCATGCATAGTTTTTTGAATAAATCAATTTCAATGGCTCTAAGTAAGTTTCTTCGTCCATTTTTAGGTAGTTAAACCAATCCTGTTTTTCAATTTTTAAACCAGCAAGAAAATTGACATGGGAATAATTATTTCGTTTAAGTAGCCAATCTTTGATCCATTTGCTTCTACGCCGTTGTTTTTCTGCTTGTTCTTTATTGCACTAGCGAGAAAAATGCAGGACAGAACGACTGTATCTCGGTAGGCCTATTTCACTTATTTAGAATCAATTCATTGTAGATAAAACTGTACTATGCGCGACAGGCTGTAGAAGTACATACATACATACAAGTTAAACTGCGCAAACTGGCATGAACAGTCCGCCTGTATTAAAACCGAGTGTCTGTGGTGGCTGTAAAAGCGTTTAGAGAGTTTATATATTTTCTATATTTATAATAATTATAATTCCAAATTGGAAACTAATTTTAAATTACATTGGGATCTTTGAATTTTCTACTAAAATATCATATTATGCTTGCTTCTTTTTGTCTCTGTCACCACTATACTCCTTAAATTTGCTGAATGCATTGGAAACTTTCTCTCTCTCTCTCTCTTCAGTCCTTTACCGTACGTAAGAGTATAGTGATATCATATGTTGATACCCCTCACTTCCCCAGACCAAGTTGTTCGACACTGCGCCATGTTGTTTCCCCTCCACCATCAGTCTCTCTATTGAGGTGCCACTCCTGGCAACTAGTGTTGCACAAGAGTCTTGAAAAAGTCTTGCAAGACCAAGACTCTTGCAAGAAATTCAAAACAAGACTTTTAAAATTTCTTGTCTTGAATTTCAAGACAAGACAAGACTTTAATATGCAAGAAATTTCAAGAGTCTTGCAAGATTTCTTGAATTCAAGATTTCTTGAAAGTTAGAAATGATACATTTTTTTAAGTGATAATTAGGTCTTTGCGCAAGTTATGCCGGGTTTATACAACATTTACATAGTCGTAATCACAATCATAGTCATAATCATAAAAGTTAAAAGATCCACTTCTCATAAACCTGTTGACATCTACCATGATACCGTAGCCTTTAATATTATGTTACCCAACTTACCAACTTCACTGATATAAAAATTATGATTATGAAAATGTTCTATAAACGGCACATTAAAATTGCGTTGTCATTATGACGACGATTAAGACTGTGATTATGATAAGACTGTGACGACTTATGCAAATGTTGTATAAACCCGGCATTAATATTAACCAGTGTTCATTTTTTTCCAGCCAGTGTTTTAGAGTTGAGAATGAAATAAAATAAAGTCGAGGCAACAAACCGTATATTGGTAATTGGTATTATACACTACACAAAATTGTATTGGTATAATGGTATTATAAAAAAAACTAACGGTAGTTGAAACTAATGGTGGGTTCGTGGAGCACGCTATTTGGTACTACTTTTCATGCACGAAATTGCTCCGCGAACAAAAAGTAGTATCAAATAGCACAAATAGTACACTCTAGCATGACCTTTCCGTACACCCTGTGTCCAAACTTTTCGTGAACTTAGAAAAAATGAACCTATGTAAATGAATTATGAATTTAGCCGGTTACTGTGTTTTATTGTTAAAATTAGCATCGTTGTTGTTTATTTTTCCGTATTACATTTTGTATACGACGCTTTCTATGAAATAAAATATAGAAATATTATCCCCTTTTTTTTGGAATGTAAAATTTTTCAAGACAAGAAATTTCAAGAGTCTTGCAAGACAAGACAAGACTTTGTCATTCAAGAAATCTGCAAGACAAGACTGAAAATTTCTTGTCTTGAATTTCAAGACAAGACAAGAAATTGATTTTCAAGACAAGAATTCTTGTCTTGTGCAACACTACTGGCAACATGACCAAAATATCGGAGGATTGACTGATTTAATTTGGTCACCAGACGTGTCTCAATTTTTAGTTCTTCGATAATGGATATGTTTGTTCGATGAGCCGTCCATGGTATTCACAGCAGCCGTCGATATACCCACATCTCCAAGGTGTTTATTCTTGTGGAAACTTTCACACAAAGCGATAAATCTAGTAATAAACTCACAGGAACATTGCCTAAGGTTTGTCTTGTGTGTCTACTGAAAGTGAGCAAAATAAACCGGAAAACGGTCGAGCTATCGTCATACACCTAACGACTTGGTGCAATTTACGGGTATCTATATCGCTGTCACTGTACCGCCTTTCCCAAAAACGCGCGGATTTTTTAATCCACACGCAACGTTTTGTCTACAACGTGTTGAACTGTGCAATAGAGGTGGGCAATGATTGAACGAGTCGTTCACTTGAACGAGCATTAAAAAATTAATCGTGAAATTCGATTCACCACTTCGAATACGATTCGTTCAATTGAATCGTGGTCAGCACGTTGTTTTATTGTTCAGAACACAGAGACACGGTTTGAGAATAAACCAGGAGTAAACCCAAATATTAGTGAACTTTTAAACGGCAGACACACTATACTACAGCTATAGATTGTCTCTGTTACACCTGGATCCACAAAATTTGAACGAACGTATGGAAGAATCGAATTGGACAACAATGCAACGTTCGTTCGTTTCTATATACGGTTCGTTCGAGTAGTGAGAATTGATTCATTGATTACAATACGGTTCGCTCAATTGAATCGTGGCCAGCACGGATCCATAGAATTTGAACGAACGAGTCGTAAGAATTGAATCGAATTACAAGCGACTCGTTCGTTTTTACGGCTCGTTTGTTCGAAGATTAGCGAGAATTGCTTCACTGCTTACAATACGGTTCGTTCAATTGAATCGTGGATCGTGGTCAGCACGGATCCATAGAATTTGAACGAACGAGTCGTAAAAAAGACTCGTAAGAATTGAATCGAACCTCAAAGCGATTTGTTCGTTTTTACGGCTCGTTCGTTCAAAGAGTCGTGAAAATTGCTTCATTGCTTACAATACGGTTCACTCAATTGAATCGTAGCCAGCACGGAACCATAGAATTTGAACGAACGAGTCTTTGTCTTGATGCATTTTTCCTCATTCTAGATATATGTGATATATAAGATGGTAGTCCAAAGTATGAGGTATTGTAATATTTTAAAAAATGTATCATTTACATGTAAAATAACAGTTTACAGGGGCGGATACAGGAATCTATTTTAGGGGGGCCCGAAAAAAGTAATGTAGAATATGATTTTTAGGGCGCCATTTTTAACCCAAAAGCCTAATATTTAACCCAATTTATAGATTTTAGGGGGGTTATGGGCCCCCCTCTGTATCCGCCACTGGGAGTTTAGGCTATGAAACGGTGTACTTACCGGATATAGGAACTCTCAAACGGACACTTTCCGCATTGCGGATCCTGTAAAGGGACAGGGCTACCACATGTTGACACCAGAAGATGTCTCGAGTGTCGCAAGTGCATGTTACTGACGTGATCTTGCACCTTGATAAGAAAAAAATCAAGTTACTTAGTTTTAAAACAACAGTCTAAAGATATTTGATTTGTTTTTCAAATTGTTAGTATGCCAGTGGCGCATCTAGAGATTGAGTTTGGGAGGGGTAGTGGGAATATTTAGGTAAAGTGCTAGTTTTAGATTAAACTTCCGCTGAAAGTTATTGTGGCTGGAAAAAAACAAACTAGGATTGGTCTGGATTTTTTATTTTTATTGCTACTTATTATTAATTTCTTCTGTGACAATGTTATGTTCTACCACCCTCACAACCTAACCCCTATTACCCCTCCCATATATTAGTCCCTTAAGAATGCCTAGATGTGTTTTTCAGTGTTGTCAAACTAATGGGGATAAAAATCTTAATGTAGTAGTTTTATACAGGTACGGACGAAAAGTTATTACTCTTTAAATCAGTTAAGAAACATGTAGGTGGCGATGGCGCATGGCGCCCCTCTACAAGTAGGAGTCATATTGACATCAAAATCAAACTTTTCATGTCAAAAACACACAGATGCCATTTTTTCATAAAATGTCGACGTTAGTTCAGATATTACTTGGAAACAACAGAAATAAAAATGAAACTTGTACACCCTGTATCTCTGAAACGATGCATTTTATACATAAGTTTAATTTATACAAACGTTTTACTTATTATATTTTTATCTGATGAATATGCTGTTGAAGTTTCCGGAATACAATTCAGACCACCCTGTATATTATTTTCAAAATTTTATTATTTGGTAAACAGAACATTGTTTTACGTATAAATTATATTTTAACACAAACACATTATCAGAAACTTATATTCTAACGTCTTTTATTTTACCTCTAATTAAAAAGAAAAAAAAACATAAACAAAACAAAACAAACAGAAAAAATACGCAGATTATTAAATTAATTTATTAACACTGCTATTGTCATATGATGATATTATTAATATAAATAATGTTATTGTTATTACTATCAGTGACGCTAACTTCAGAACCTTAAGATATGGTAAAAAAAAATTAATGTAATAAATAAAAATTATCGAATATATGGCATATAATTACATAATATATCAATCTATAAATATTGTGACATATATTTTGATATACATATACAGGGTGGCACACCTCATTCGCCTCGGTTGATTATACGAAAACGGAAAGATGTAGAAACAAGATATTTTATGGGTATATATGTGAGGATGCAATGTGCACAATTTAAAATTATTTTGAAATATACAGGGTGTTTCAGAACTAAGATCCATACCAAAGTTGTATTTTTTCTTATGGAACACACCCGGTATTTTATTTAATTTTTGGGTCCTTGGTCCCAAAAAAGACATATATTATAAGGGTTAAATATGTTTAAAATCTTTGGTTTTTGAGATATTTACAGATATTTAAATATGCACACTACAATAGAACAGATTATTAACACCTTGTGTATTACTTTTTAGAATTAATTCTTGTGCTGAATTTAAAGGTGAGGAAATAAACTTTACTGAAAAATGTTACCGCTTCCTTAAATTTATACAGGGGTAGGGGTACCAAAAATTGCTGATCTATTTTAAGGATTTATTTTATATAAAAAGTTTGTTATTTCAAATGCAACACCCTGTATTTTTTAAAATAAATCGAAGGAGATTCAAATGCTCTTTCAAACTATATTAGGGTTTCCTAGGTATTTATTATTTTAATATTTTTTTAGGGTTCACTAGATAAGTATAATCTATAGCTTAGATTTTGAATAAAAAGTAATTTTTCAATAAAAACGCAATCAAGAAGGCTGATGGTGTCGCCATGGCAATTTTCCAGTGACATTTAGTATTTAGTAACTATTTTCAAAATCGATATTAGTTTATGGACATTATCATTTAGATTTATAACAGTTTATTTAAATTTGTTTACAATAGTTTAATAAGTAAGTATTCATTATTTTATCAAGAAAAATAAAGCAGTATCTGCTAGCGGAGGGAATGGATATGTTACTAGTGATTTTATTTTGTGAGGAAAATTGCTTCTTCGCCTTAAGGGCTTATGTTTAAAGATATCCAAATAGGAATATTCCTGATAAGCGTTCCTTTGAATATCTTCTTGTCCTATTTCGCAGACCTGGTATAAGTGTGGTTTATAAAAAAACTATTAGGCAGAAACCTGTCGTTGGAAGTGAAGACAATGAATTTGCCGTAATTGACTTTTTAATAGAAAATCCATATAACTACAAGTTCTCGTAAAATAAATCACAGAACTACTTCTTCGTTTTTCTTGATACAATAATAAATAACATATTTAATAAATATTACTTCTTAAACTATTATAGGTAAATTAAATAAAAATAAACTGGTATAAATTTAAATAAAGTCTATAAATTAATTTCAATTTTTGAGAGAGAGAATATAGATACTAACTGTTAGTAACTACACTAGAAACTTGCCATGACGACACTAGCCCTCTTGGTTGCCATTTTATTGAAAAATTGCTCTTTATTCAAAATCTGAGCTAGATAGGTATAGGAAACCCTAATATAGTTTGAAAGAGCATTTGAATCTATTGTTATTTATTTAAAAAAATGCAATGTATTTGAAATAACGAAAAGTTTTTATCTAAAATAAATATTTAAAATACCTAGACCAGCAATTTTTGATACCCCTGTATACTTTTTCCCGAAATTTTTCAGCAAAGTTTATTTCTTTGGCTTAAAAGTCAACACAAGAATTAATTCTGAAAAGCAATGTACAGGGTATTGACAATCTTTTTTATTATAGCATGCATATTTAAAAAATATCTTTAAATATCTCAAAAACCAAAGCTTGTATACATATTTAATCCTTGTAATAAATGCCTTATTTTATGTCCACGGGTCCAAATATGAAGTAAAATACCGGGTGTTCCATAAGAAAAAATATAACTTTGGTGTGGATCTTAGTTCTGACATACCCTGTACATTTTAAAATAATTTTAAATATTATGCATATTGCCTTCCAACATACACCCATATAATATTTTGTTTCTACATCTTTCCGTTTTCGTATAATCAACCGAGGTGAATGGGGTGCGCCACGCCACCCTGTATATTATATTTTTGTTACTATTTTAACATTGTTCCTCCATACCCATTGGTATAATTGTGGCATGGTATTTTTGTATTTTGTAATATTTTATAGGAACTAATAAAGAATTATCTATCTATTTATCTATCTATATCACATGATACATATCCTCCGAACCCTGATTATGCAAGAGCCCGATATTCTGATATATGCTCTTGCTCTCGTGCCATCTGCACTAAGAACCAGGTAGCGTAAGGTACCCTGACCGCTACCTGACCAGTTTTTAACAATCCCCATAACCAAAACTGGTCTTGGCCAGTAGGCTTTTTTCTTTCATTTTTAGCCTCTCCGTGGAATAAATACCGCAATCATCGTGACGTCAACGGTCCACAGATTACAGCAGGACTTTTGTCATTATTACATATATCTATTGTTTGTCCAGTGACCGATGACGTTACGCTCTTACGATTAGAAATATTACCAAAGTTTACAGAATTACGAGATATGATACCTATAACTATTTGGAGCTTGTTTACGGTATATTATGCATTTGTAAACTATAAACCAGTTAAGTTTTAGACTCAGAGAAGTAAGTAAACCATAGAAACGACGATTTAAAATATAAAAAAATGTGCGAGCACTATGTGCGCGTATTTAAAGTGAAACTTCTTACTAACAGCTATTAAATTGAAGAACATGTTTGAAAAAGTGTAGTTTGAAATGTTGAAAAAGTACTAAATTAATAAAATATTTTTTTACGCTTAAAAAATAGTTTTTACATGTAAAAAGTAGTTTTTTTTTGCTTGTAACAAATAGTTTTTACGTGCAGCAAATAGTTTTATACGCGTAAAAAATAGTTCTAACGTGTAAACTAGTTTTATACGCGTCAAATAAAAAATTACTAAAATAGTTTTTTAGGTGTGGGAAATAGTTTTTTACACGTTACACGTGGCACCAATTCTTTTCAACATATACACAAATGACCAACCTATTCCAGATAACACTAGAACCTTTACATATGCAGATGACCTAGCAATAACAGTTAAAGGCAAAGGGTTCGAAGATATCAAGGAGAAACTAGAAACCGCCCTAAAAACAATGTCAGCTTATTACAAAAGGAATTCTTTAAAACCCAACCCCACCAAAACTAAAGTGAGTGCATTCCACCTGAATTCGAGACAGGCGACCCACAGATTTAATGGTACATGGGACGGGACACCACTAGAACACACAGATTAGCCTACCTATCTTGGCGTCGGCGTCTGTAAAATCGGCATGTAAAAAAGGTGAACATCAGCCTGAATGAAACATGCAGAATAGTGACAGGTTGTATGAAACCCACTCCCTTAGAAAACCTTTACAAGGCCGCAGGTTTTACAAGCCCCGATTTACGTAGAAAAGCTCATGAACATACTGAGAACTAAAACAAACTTTTGATACTCGTCACTCAATTTTTGGCCAAGAGTGCGGCACAGGTAGACTTAAATCCAGACGCCATTTCCTAAGCCATCCCCTGAACCTCCCTCCCACTACCCACTTAGAGAGGACCCACCAAATAGTGTTTCTATTGGTTTCTAGCGACTGGAAAACCTAGAGAATGCTCTACCGAATCAGAACTGGGGTGGCCCCAGTAAAATCCAATTTGATCAAATGGGGTTTGCTGGACAGAAATGACGACAAATCGTCAGTGAAACGTGATAACCTGCTAACTCCATTTTTTACGTTAATAAGTTTTGTTATACCATTAGAAAGAGAAAAAAATACTCTATAAGTAGGGACAGTAAATACATTTTTCCCATTAAAGAAAATTTGCAATTTTAATTCAATAATATCTGCTAACTCCCAGTGATCTGAAATAGCAACCGAAATGCTGCTAAGTCCATAATTTCCGTTACGATCACGCTAAAGCAAACACACGGATTCTTACTCGTATGTTTCTTTAGGACAGTACTTCGATCCAGGGTCGCACTAGGCCAAAGGGGCCCGGATGGCAATGTAAGAGGGGGCCCGTGTGGATTTTTTTTGCGTATTTTTTGCCTTACGTTTTGGTCAATTTTTCCCTATTATATACAGGGTGAATCTTAAATAAATGTAAATGTTTTTAGGGGTAGTATATTTCGACCCAAGAAACACGATTATGAGGTTTTTTGGGCGATATTTTTTTTTGGAAAATTTGGAATTTTTTAAAAAAAAAATTGGAATTTTTTTTAATTTTTAGTTTAAAAACATACTTTGTTTGTAATATGGCAACAGAGGTAGTAGATTAAATTTACAAGAAAGAAAATCCAATGATACTCAAAATTATAGCAAAAAATTGGAAATTTTAAAATTGAAATAACTCGGTTGTTTTGGATTTATTTGAAAAAAACGGTAAAGAGAAAATATTATGTTTCTTTTATCGAGAATTACCAGCCCTGAAAATATTTGCACTTATTTAAGACTCACCCTGTATAGAAATCAGTTAACTACCCTAATGCAAGGTAAACCAATGCAATGCAAATGCCATAATGCAATGCAAAAGCAAATATTGTTAAGAATAAATAATGAACTATAAAGGGGGCCCGCGAAGGCTGGGGTCCCCCTAATAGTTAAGATAATACCTAATCAGTTTTATTTTTTTCCACGTTTTTCCACGTAAATGATACATAATTTTTATAAAAATTAAAAAAATAAGGAGAAAAGTAATAAAAATTTAATAAAATCACGCACTGGTTTTCCAAGTTCGATCTACTACCGTTGTGTAAAAATTAGGATAAGCATGGAAGGATTCTACCATATCTTCTAAGAATTATAAGTTTAATTTTTAAATTATTTTCATATTCATGAAGTCCAAAATGCTGCTACTTCAGATCTTTAAAAATGCATTAAAAATTTATTCGTTTTTGGACTTGTATGTTTTGCTTCTAGACCGACGATATTATAAATATATGGTTATGAATATCATATATTTTTTAAATTTAATTGATTATTTCTAAATCTGTTTGGGTAAAATTCAATTCCATTTTTAAAATTTCAAACAATAAAGGTTGCTATCTCCAGAAGTATATTTTTATTTCTTATTTCTGCAAGACGAATATCTGCTATCTCCCTATTGTGTCTGAGAAAAATGATGTAACGCGAAATATTGAGTTATATTTTTTCCCAGCAAATAAAATTCTTATCTCTTTATCATATTAACGCATGAAAATACTTCCTACATGTCTACATATTTTTTTGTACCGTTTTTTTGCTATCCTGTAAAATTAGGAATAATGGAGTTAGCAGTTTATCACATTTCACCGACGAAATGCGACTGCGGTGCCTTTCAGGACATGGAACATCTTCTTCAATGTCCTGTGTGCCCCCACAGATGTACCATCGATAACCTATGGCTAGCTAAACGGGAAGCATTGGACGTAGCCCATTACTGGGTTAATAAACTAATATAATCCGGACACAGAAAAAGTAAGTAGGTACACGTTATAATCTGATTCACTTTCACAAAATTCGTATGTATACATACACAATACATAATTAAAAATTATTTTGAAATGTACAGGGTGTATCAGAATTAAGATCCATACCAAAGTTATATTTTTTCCTATGGAACACCCGGTATTTTATTTCATTTTTGGATTCTTGGGCATAAAATAAGGCATTTATTATAAGGGTTTAATATGTCTAAAAGCTTTGGTTTTTGAGATATTTAAATATGCATGCTATAATAAAAAAGTTTGTCAGCACCTTGTACACTACTTTTCAGAATTAATTCTTGTGCTGACTTTCAAGCCAGAGAAATAAACTTTACTAAAAAATTCGATTGCTTCCTTAAATGTATACAGGGGCATCAAAAATTGCTGGTCTACTTTAAATATTTACTTTAGGTTAGGTTGTAAAACTTCGTTCTTTCAAATGTAACACTATGTATTTTTTTAAATAAGTCGAAGCAGATTTAAATGCTCTTTCAAACTATATTAGGGTTTCCTATACCAATCTGGCTCAGATTTTGAATAAAAAACGATTTTTCAATAAAATTGTAATCAAGATGGCTGGGGTCGCCATGGCAATTTTCTAGTGACACTTAGTAACTTTTTTTTTCAATTTTCAAACTCGACTTTAGCTTATGGACTTTATTTAAATTTATAACAGGTTATTTTTATTTAATTTACCTAAAATAAGGTTAATAACTAAGTATTTATTATTTTATCCAGAAAAATGAAGCAGTATCTGCTGGAGAAAGTAGTTTTAAAAAACTTATTTTGTGAGGACAATTTTATTGCTTGTTGGACTTAAGGGTTTATGCTCAAAGATATCCAAATAGGAATTTTCTTGACAAGCGTGAAAAACCACTTTTCCTATTTCGCAGAGCTGATAGAGTGGTACGTATATGAAAAACCTATTAGGCAGAAACCTGTCGTTGGAAGTTGGAAGTGAAGAAAATGAACTTGCCTTAATTGGCTCTTTTATAGAAAATCCGATAGGTATATCTATAAGTCATCGTAATATAATTCAAGGAACTACTTCTTTATTTTTCCTGATAAAATAATAAATACTTACTTATTAAACTATTGTAGGCAAATGAAATAAAAGTAAACTGTTATAAATTTAAATAAAGTCAATAAACTAATGTCGATTTTGAAAATAGGTACTAACGGCCACTAGCAAATTGCCATGGCGAGATAGCGACACCAGCCATCTTGATTGCCATTTTATTGAAAAATCGCTTTTTATTCAAAATCTGAGCGAGATAGGTATAGGAAACCCTAATATAGTTTGAAAGAGCATTTAAATCTGCTTCGACTTATTTTAAAAAATACATAGTGTTGTATTTGAAATAACGAAGTTTTTATGTAAAATAGATATTTAAAAGAGACCGGCAATTTTTGATACCCTTGTATATATTTAAAGAAGCAATAATTTTTTTAGTAAAGTTTATTTCTCTGGCTTCAAAGTCAGCACAAGAATTAACTCTGAAAAGTAATGTACAAGGCGTTGACAAACCATTTTTTTTTATAGCATGCATATTTAAATATCTTTAAATATCTCAAAAACCAAAGTATTTAAACATATTAAACCCTAATATTAAATGCCTTATTTTATACCAAAGAATCCAAAAATGAAATAAAATACCGGATGTTCCATAAGAAAAAATATAACTTTCGTATGGATCTTAGTTCTGACACACCCTGTACATTTGAAAATAATTTTAAATTATGCACATGGCCTCTCTACATATACCCATAAAAAATGTTGTTTCTACATCTTTCCGTTTTCGTATAATTAACCGAGGCGAATGAGGTGGTGCGCCACCCGTATATCAAAATTTTTGATAAAGACGTGTATGGGCATTGATAAACACAAATACACGTCGCGTCACTATACGTATGTATGTCTTTACTGTTTTCGTTACCACTAGCTCGTGTGTCACGGCCTTGAATTTTTACTCCCAGCGCGCGCAAAAACGTTTTATGCAAAGCGTATAAATCGGGAAAGACTCTGTGTAACTAGGTTTACTTAGTCCTCTCACATCTTCACCCTTATGATAATGTATATTTGTCAGCGAACAACCATTGGCATTAAAATGCAGCTGTTCGTTGTGTGTTTACTTACCTGTCAAAACTGACGGACACCTTGAATTTGTGGGGCGGCTCAGGAGCCCCGCAAGGCAGGGAGGCGGGGGGTGAATTCCTGTGCGCCGTCACCACGCCGCTCAGGTGGAACCCTGGAACAAAAAGAAGGATAATTAGGAGTGAATCTAAAGTACGTCTACTGGATCTGTGTCTATAAAAGGAATTTCAAGAATGCTGAAATGCAGACACAATACCGGAGTGTGATCAATTTCCTATAAACCACATTTATAAACATCTAACCGGGTGCGTCTCAAAAGTGGCTCACCCCTATAACTTTTTTATTTTTTCAGAGACAAAAACGAGATTTGGTATGTTAGTACATACCTATATGACATAAATTAGGATTGATTGACGTATTCAATTGTTTTTGGACACTTCTTGTTTCACCGGAAATGATTTGATACCACACATTTGGTATTTCGAATCAAATTTTCGTTACGAACCTCAAGTTATAATTCCAAATCAACCATATGCGAAATGTCAAAAGTTGACATATGATATGTCATTCCATTCAGAATGTCATTTTCTATTGAATAAAGTAAAAAAATACCGATGGTGCCATTTAAAAATCAAAAGTTGTAGTCATTTCCGGTGAAACAGGAAGTGAACGAAAACAATTGAATAGGTCAATCAACCCTAATTTATGTCATATACTAACCTACCAAATCTAGTTTTTTTAACTGAAAAAATAAAAGAGTTATAGGGATGAGCCACTTTTGAGACGCACCCGGTATACACGCGAGAGAGTGGTTACATTGGTTACTTGCAAATTTGTCGAATTTTTATTGACAAGACGCATTGACTATTTTTTTACGAGGAAGATTTTTTACGGTAGTAGACAGCTTGACAAGAGTGCAGTCGTTATCGACAAAATAGTTGTGTGATTTTATTAATTTTTCATTATTTTTTTCTTAATTTTTTAACTTTTATAAAGATTATATCTCATTTACGTGGAAAAGCGTTGAAAAAAAAACTGATTTGGTATTTTTGATTTTTTTGCATAAGTAATATCCTTGTTTATATATTAATAATTAAGGGTAATATTATTTAAAATATTTATAGCACGCCCATGAATAATTTAAGAGAATTTTGTTTCCCCCGTTTCCCCCTTACGGATGCCACGTAGCTACAGAACGGATAGACGCACTGTACCTACCTATAGTTCAGTGGCGGATACAGAGGGGGGGCCATGGGGCCCGGGCCCCCCCTAAAGTCTGGAAATTGTGTTAAATATTAAGCTTTTCGGTTAAAAATGGCACCCTAAAGAGCATATTCTACATTACTTTTTATTTTGGCCCCCCCCTAAAATAAATTCCTGTATCCGCCCCTGCTATAGTTCATACCAAATACACTTTTAGTCACGTGATTATGCTTGACCGGCACAGCGATGTCCACTTATATATTTTCTTTTAATCAAAATATTTTAGGAAACAAAAAACATCAACAAAACTCGTCTCCTTAACAGCACTTAAGGGACATAAAGGTTCATTACTACCGCTTTCCTGTTCAACATATTCTAATAAGGTTGCGATGAGTTTCTTGCAACGGCTATTAAGCTATCTTGTACACTTCGCATTAAAAGTGGTTCTAAAAAGGACAATGTTCGACTGCAAGGTTTGCTAGTAAAAAAATTTAAGCTTAAAGTATCACAACACAATTCATTTAAAACAGAAATTCGTAATACAAAACTAAAGTGTCAAAACGAATGACAATGTCAAGAAATAAATAAACAAATGTGGCCACTTGACATTTTTAACAGCAGAGCTATCACCTGAATCCCCAGAGGCAAATTTAAATTCCAGTTAGTCAGCCTGGCGCCGCATATGTCAATGGTTGGCAACAATGAATTCAAAAATTGCGCCCTCGATTACGTAACAAAAAGTTTAATTGGTATCGCTTATATAAGTATAGGGCTATATCAAAAATATAGATTTAAAAAAAAATATCGATACTGATTTAAAAATGTTGATAGATATTTTTGTAGTAGAAACCAAGGCTACTAGCTGGTTGGTTGGAAGCGCCTGAAATGTCACACCTGCCGTCTTGGTTGAGGCTAATAGGGTATCACCTGCCCTCTTGCCATATATGACATCTGGCAGTATTCGCTGATTACTAGATAATATTTATTTATTATGGCTAAGTACATCATATACTCCCAAATTAGCAATACAAAATTTAATATATCAAGCACTATCGGAAGTGTGTTTTGGTTGCTGATTATAACAAATATCTGCTCTTATTTTTGAATTCCGCGTTTCTAAAAAGTGTGAAAATTGAGCCAATACCGCCACGGTTTTTAGATTATTTAGCAACTTTTACATTTATATTTGTATATTTTTGCCAGATAATTGATCACTGGCACATCTAGAGATTGAGTCTGGGAGGGGTAGTGTCAATATTTAACATAAAGTAATAGATTTAAATTAAATTTACGCTGAAAGGTATTGTGATTCTGAAAGAAAATAAACTTGGCTTGGCTTTTCTATTTTGATTGGTATTGTTAATTTATTTTTTGACAAATTTATTTTATGCCACGTTTGATAGTATTGATAAATTACTTCCTGTGATCCTGAGAGGGGTAATTATCCCCATTACCCCTCTAGTATATGCACCTGTAATTGTCATAATATTCCTACTACATATAATAAAAATATCTGTGTAGAATGTAGAATGTTTAGGATGGGGATTAATCACCGCGACCTTAGAGATCTATTGTGTATTGTGTGTTCCCCTTTCTTGAGTTAGATCGAGTTATAACTCATCATACAGTTTCAGGTCAAGTCTTGCCAAAAGCCAGTATCTGAGACGGCTCCACAGAGGCCAGCTCTACATCCTCGACATCAGCCGTACCAAAGTTTATGGCACGAACGGTTGTCGTCTCGGCGCACTCAGTGATGAGGTGTTCTGGTGTTTCCCAACAGAATCTGCATTCGCCGTAGTTTCTCAGCTTCAATCTACCGAGGTGTTTGTTGAGGAGATAATGCCCTGTTAGAAATCCCGTGACAATCCGAAGATTGTTCGTACTTAAATCAGTCTTTGATTTTTCTCGGTCGTAAATTCTGAGATAACTGAAATATCTTTGTATGGGGTGTCCCAAATTCAAAGCTGACCATTGAGATCTAGAACACCTATTAAAGAGTCAAATAATTATTGCAAAGCTTCGCAATATATTATGTCTAATAAAATGACGGTTGTAACATTAAATTTCCGAACACTACCGAAGAAATTCGAAAAAATAAAATGCTGTAAAAACGTTTCTGTCTTTATTTTAAGAGATATTTTAAAATAAATGTCATTTCATCATTATCACTGTTTCTCTTAATAAGATGGGGCTATTAAATGCTAAATATCGATTTGCTTTGGAGATACTATTAAGAACTTTATTCTTGGGGTGCAAAGCTAGTTCGCCTCCTAAGACACCTAAACAACCATCAAAATTAAAGTCAAGTTAGTCAAATCTATAATGCTACCAAAATTAAAAAACAGCTCTTCTAAGAACTTGTTGACCAGAAACCTTGGACCTTGTGTCCGAATTTGTCATAGAGAACTCAAACATAGAGAGTATAAGTTACTCAAAAAGCCAATATTTATCTAAACTCTTAAAGAATGACAATATTGATCTAGTTGCCATTCAGGAAACACATTGCCAATCAGAAGAACAACTGCAAAAAAGGGGGAAAATACCCGGACGACCTACTCGGAGCAACCTACGGCGGGTATTAAGATATTCTTTGCTACGGCGTAGCAACCTACGTCAGACATGACATCGAAAACGCTTCTGTAATAAACACCTCTACTGAAAATGGAAATAATATTGTCGTGACGAAAATCGGAGACATCACAGTATCCAATATCTATAAACAACTTGCTACAGCTTGGCCAGATGCAGTTATCCAAACTCAACCCCACCCAGCAGTACACGTGGGTGATTTCAACAGCCACCACGAACAATGGAGATACAGAAACTGTGACGCTAATGGAGAAGCGTTAGTAAAATGGGCTGAAGATGAAAACCTTAATCTCGTCTTTGATGCAAAAGATCGCTTCACATTCAAGTCTGCAGCGTGGAGACGGGAATACAATCCTGACCTGTGCTTAGCATCAACCAGTAGCAATAACAATGCACCCCTGCCGGTCCATCGACATGTTCTCTGTGACTTCCCACACAGCCAGCATCGCCCAGTCATAATAGAAACGGGCACCCAAATCCCAATAATCACGTCCACACCTCGACCAAGGTGGAAGTTTGGAAAAGCTAACTGGGACAGGTTTTCTAAAGATCTAGATAAATGTCTAGGCTGGATCCCATCACAGAGTAAAAACTGCACCAGATTCGGGGGAGCAATCATAGGCACCGATAAAAAGTGTATCCCAAGAGGCTTTCGTAAGGAATACATCACAAAATAGCGACGAGCTTTATCAAAACTTCCTCGAAACCGGTGATGAAGAAATAGCAAATGAACTTCTGCACAGCCTTGATGCAGCAAGACAACAAAAGTGGACAGAAACCGTAGAAAGCTTGAATTTCCAGACCTCAAGCAGAATCGCATGGTCACTTCTTAGAAAACTAGGGAGTGGATCCCGTATACAAAGATTCAGAGCAACTATCTCGCCAAACGCAGTAGATCTCATATAGTAGCAACGTCCAGAGCACCAAAGGACAAAGATCACACAATAAAAGTTAAACGAGAACTTAGACCTAAAAACCTCAGTGAAAAAAACGGAATACTCTCGACATTTTACGGCAGATGAAATAATATCCACAGCAATTCAAGATCTTAAGCCCGGAAAGGCTCCCGGATTTGATAACATCAGTCCTGAATTTCTAATACACTGCGGAAAATTTGCGATCAATCTAGAATCTAGTGGGCTGCTGTAATTTTTTTAGGAAAAAATCTAGTCGGCCGCTGTTACTTTTTAGGATGTTCCTAATATTATTTTATTTGACCTTACTCTACTGCAATACGTTATTATCTATTGTAGATGATTATTATTATCGTTATTATCACTAGATTCTTAATCTAAAAATGTTTTTTGTCCTGACATGTAATGCTTTACATTTTATTTTTTAATTTCAAATCGGTGAGTTTTA